CGTAGAATGTTGGCCGTCTCAATACGGATTTCTTCCGCTTCCACATCAGGTAGTGCTCTGATGGCTGCTTCAGTGCTGGCTGTAATCTCCTCCGTTGGCAGGTGTTGTGAAGTGATTGCGAAATTACTGCCTTTTGCCAAGACGGCCGTTTCCTCTTCGGTAAGGACTCGATCCGTGACCAGCCTGTATTCGTCAAGTGCTGGGTAATTTCGGATTTGTTTCCTACAAGAACCTCTCGTATTTTCGAACCTGAGCTTTTTTACTCCGGTTTAGCTCATTATCCATACTTGAGTATGAGATGGTATCAATTTTGTTCCAATCCTTTGCCTGTATTTTGTTGCTGAGCGTCAGATGTAGGTGAAGTAGTTCTCTATCTACTTCAGCCAGATCCTTCCTTGTTTTGTGGATTTGCTCTCGGAGAAATGCTTTTTCAGTTCTGGAGTAGATGCGATGTGCTTGGGGTGTCTCGAAAGAGCGCTTAATCTGTAAGAACGCTGGTACGATGTTAGTGTCACGGCAGCGAGAGAGAAACGTTTGATTTTTATTTGTTTATTTTTCAATAATTCAATAATATTAATTCATCAGAATATTCAAAAGCAGAATGTCTTCAGTTACCTACTTATAGATCAGCGAGAGATATAAGAGTTTCAAGCCACTAACAATAAGATCCGCCCAGTTGACACATTGTAGGCATAAACAAGGAAACAGCTAATTTGTGAAAGGAATCAAATTATTTCGAAATATATTTAATTAGGAGGTTACCAGAATACAAAAAACTGACTACAAATCGTAGTCAACTGATTTCGCCGGTCCAGAAAACACTCGTTAACTAACAACCACAACTTTCATTGATGTGTGTCATCGTATCTGCGCCAATGTAATTTCGTAACATAACCTACCACCCGCTCGTCCTTATGTGGCCATTATTTATCCTAAGCATTCTTTCTCGTCCTCTCTCTTATATGTTTTCTTCTTCTCTCAAATTCAAAATCATTGGCATATATCATTCTCGATTTCGGTTCTACCAGCAGTACTATACCTTTCAGAGTCCTTAGAACCATGTCTTTGGAAATAATGTCCTCTATATCTTTGTTCTTCGTCATATTTGTAATGATCTTCATCATCCCAACTATCGCCGCATGCTCTTTGATCGTCAGATGAATGCCCTCTAGGATACTTTGGTGTCCATTTAGGTCTTATCCTTACGCCTGCGTGGTCCTTTTTTCCATGGACCGACGACATGGGAACTAGAAGATGACCATCTGTTCCTTGTTGACCCCACGTTGCTAGCCGCCAGTATAGTACTCGTAGTTTTTCTCTTCGTAGGAATCTGTAGAGCGTTTGTTTGAAGGAAAATATCGACCTTCTGAATCAGCAGTAGGATACACCCATCAATCTTCTTGTTTCCGTTTTTTATTTATTCGCTCACCGGATTTTTCCATTTTCTTTCGATCTTTTGCTAGTTTTCTTTAGGTTCGAAAATGGTTTGACATCGCTATCTCAGAATTGATCACTTCTAAACTGTTCGGAACTACGTTCCTGATCGGTTTCAAACCAAAAGGATAAAACAGAAATACTTTCACGATGATCAGTTCTGAGGTAATTCTTGCATTGAATAAGTTATCTGCGATGTAATGCAGTTTACCCGACCGATGTTTGATTTGATCATACTGGTGCAACTTCTCCATCGAAGGTCATCAGATGGAGATCACGTTTAAAATGTCTCTCTTCTTGCGCAGCGGTAGCATCCGGTTTCCTTTTTCAAATTCCCCTGTTTAAATCTGGTAACAACCTTTGTATTTCTTCCAGAAGTTCCCTCATTGTCTTTTTTTTTCTTCTTGTATTGATACAGCTTTGATCTTTGGTTTGGTACTTGATAGTTTAGTTGTGACTTCTGAGCAGCATTCCCTACTTCCATATCTCTAACTAAATAGTTCCATTGATGAAATTTTCAGCCGCTATTTGCTAGTTGCGGCATTTATCTCGCGCTAATTATTCCACCAATTAGCTCAAATTAATCCTAGTGGATTATTTCGTTATCTCACTCATATGCTCATATTAATACACCAATTGTCTCGCTAATCATCTCAATTCTGACAGCAAATTGTCGCGGATTCGGAGGGTCCACTGAAACTATCTTAACTGACAATAAAAAAATCATAAGTTGGCATCACTATTTTTTCTCTAAATATACCAAGGAAAATGGTCGCATTTTAAAGAAATACTTGATGTAAAGATAGTGATGAAATCTGGATAAAAAAACTACTGGATTTTCTCGTCGTTTGTGCTTTTTTCGTAGTATTGGCACCTACATGTTAATCTCGTATTACATCTGTGTATTTTTTCGTATATTTCTTCATGTTTAGGTTGCCAAAATTATTTTGTTTTTCATAATGCTGATTTATGTTGCATTTGAAGTTTTTCGGTTGTCACCCTGAATTACATGAAAAAATTCACGGAAAAATACTGAGGAAATCCACCTATTTAAAATATTATTTCTTAAAATCTTATCTTTAAAAAAAAACGTTTACTGAATAAAAGTAAATGTTGCAACCATGTAGGCGCCGTCAAGTTTATAAGAATGGGACGCGCCTCAACGAAAAAGCGTACTGAAAGGGTAGGTACCGAACGGGAGATAGAGAATACGCAACTAGACTGAAGAACAAGCTGGGCTGGTCCCTTAGACGCGTCTCTGTAATTATTCATTATTCAATTTTTATTTTTATTTTGCATTAAACTGATTGTTTAACCCAATTTGTTATTAGTGTGTGTGTCAAGGAGCAATCACAGGTCAGTTGAATAATTGTTATTTTATTTTTGAGAGTTCAATTATTTATACAAGTATAATTTTTTTCATTTTTTGTTTTTTTTTTTTTTGTTTGTTTATAACATTTTTTATAACATGTGCATTGTTCATATATTTAACAAAAATCGTTTCATGCTGTATACAACACAGATAAAGAGTAAATTAAAACCTAAGAAATTATGTGCTGTCTTTTGTGCTGAGATTTTGATTTTGTGTATTCAGAAAGTGCATTAGGGCCTTGTTGAATTTACTAACATTTTCTTACCCTAACGAACGAATATCCTACCAAACAAAGGAAACAGATATTGGCTCAAAATAACAACTTTAGCTGGGTAGCATCCCGTATGGGGCCTCAGTACCCTCCGGCAGACCGGCTAACTAACAAAAAAAAACTCTTCATTATTGAATATAGGTAGTGTTGATTGAATGTAGTGTGTGTAATTGAAATTTTAGCACAAAGACAAAGGATGGTACCCAATTTAAACTTTTATTGAATTAATGACTCACAATTATTATTAAAATGACACAGTATGTTTCGATTTTTGAGGAATGTTAGATCGAGATTTTCTCTGCCGTGCTCTTTCCCCTCGTTAGTTCCAGGATGAGAACGGTACGATTTACTTTAATAATAAAGTAGACGTTCCACAAATTTTTCGTTTCTTTTACATATTACAGCTTCCCTTAAATTTCCCAAATATTTGCTATGTCGGGCAGTAAGTAAAATGAGTAAGTTTCCACAACGTAGGTCCTATTTGTTTTTCATTTCGTTTTTCAGAAGATTTGCTGTATGAAAGGTAATAAAAATTCACACCGTTCAATCTTGCTGAACGAACCCGGGTATGTTATACTACAATACACAGATGTAATACGAGCTTTAGGCAGGTATAGGTACTTCCAAATATGTAACCTAATTTCATCGGGAAAACTACTTTCATACCATTAGGCAATGGCAGCAAATATCCAGATGAGTTCCTCAAAATTTTGTAGAGGGCGCGAGTGAACTTGGAGTGTTTCAAATTTTGGCGGTAAATGTCAAAGGTTTAAAACTGATTATTGGGTAGAAAGAAAGATGACTACACATGAACAATGGACAATGCGGATAAGTTAAAATATCTTCTAAAGCGTTCAGTGGCCCTTAGAGAATATTTTCAAAAGTTTCAGCGTCAGCTTGTCTTGAAACCACACATCAAACTTCAGTTTTGAGGTTAGAATTAGAATCGAATTTTTACGCGCGAAAATTTAAAGAGATCCAAGTACAGAAGCGCCCTCTTCAACTCAACTGTCAATATTATATGCCATTCAATCCATCTGTCAAAAAGGAAAATTCAATATGGCGTGGCGGCCAAGCAAGTCTGTTTTGAATATGTTTTTATGCGTATTTTAAATTATTTCGCTTGCAACTTTAATTTTGATTATTTAATAAACTATTTGTTGACTAGGTACCTAAACTATCAAATCTGGCAGAAATTAGATATTTTTTTGTGTTTTTTGGTCCATGTGTGGCCGCCACGCCATCTTGAATGTCACGTGGTTTGAATTGTCTAATTTTCCTAAAAAAAAAAAAAAAAGAAGATTCTCCTTAATACCTCTATCTAACACTGACCTTGCCATCACGATTACATAGTTAATGGACTTTCGTGATTTTCAGGACGGCCCGTTTTCCTTTCTGTCCTTCTCTAGCTGGGTTTGGTTTGTTGTGGTTTGTTGTGTGATCGTGACAACCGATCATTATGGAAACGGAAACCTTGACTTAAAGTCGTCTACAGGTCAGACACGTATAAAAATAAATTGGAAGGGCTTCGCCTGGAAGCCCACAGTTGCAGAACAGCGTTTAGAAATTAATAATGCATGTTGCATTAGGATTAATAAAAACATAAACTTTTGCTGAAACAAAAAGCTTTGATATTATTGTTGCTGGTACGATTGTTAAACGAAAATACTTGAATATTTTTGCCTATTGATATATTTCCTTAAAATGAGCATGTTTTAAATTCAGGATGTGCTTTGAAAAACAAATTAAAGGGAAACAACATTGAAATTGTGAAATTAGTCGACCCAACGACGCGTAATTGACTCTCCGAGCAGTAGAGAGATAATTGCAAAAGCCTTGGTAATGACATTAGAAAAAGGACACCAGAAGTAATCGCTGGCTTAACGATGATAAATTAAATAATAGATTATTATCTTGTTGCAGGTTTAAGTCTCGATCAAAATCTCTCCATGGGTCCAATGGGACCTCAATCCCCGCTGGACATGAAACCTGATGCAGCAACTTTGGGACAATTCAGCCCCCAAGGACCGAACAGCCCCAATTCATATGCATTAGGTCAAGTGGGATTACTTAGCCCTTCGCCTGGCGGGGGACAAAAAGGTGGACAAGGCAGTCCCTACCCACCCAACCATCCGTTGAGCGGCTCCAAGCATTTGTGCTCAATTTGTGGAGATAGGGCTAGCGGAAAACATTATGGAGTTTATAGGTAAGACGTTTTAATCTGTAAAATTTTCAAATATAGCTATAAGTCCGTTTTCTCTCATTTAAATAAACAATTATTGAAATCTAATATGAATGTGACATTTTGGAAACTATAAGTGAGACTTCCAAAACGGTATAATAATGTTTTTGATTTGTCTCGCTGGTTAATCAGTGTGCAAGGTTTGGAAAAATGAATGATTCACATATTTTAATATACAATATACATACCATTTTCGCGATTAGGTTAGAGCTTTCTGAAATAATGTGCATGTTTGTGTTCCTTGCTGGCATAGTCTAGTCTGTCAGATGCTTTATTGAAGCTAATGTAGACAGAAACTATCATTTTTGATGATTTTGCTGTTATAAATTGATGGTACCTACTTTAGTTAAGTTAGTTATCATGGCAGCCTTAAAACCATGCTGTTCAGGGATTTCTTGACATTGACGGCAAAAGAGGATTTACTAAAAAAGGAACTTCTAAAAATAGCCAGTTAAAAGAATGGGCAATTCAAGAAACCTTTTATTGACGGAATGGCTAAAAGACGCGGAATAATTATTGGTGCTTTGATTGACAGTGTGAAATAAAGCCTGTTGACCTCCCTTATGTGGGGACAATAAATTAACGTTTTAGCTGAAGTACCAAACTTTGATAAAGAATCAGAAGCCAGCACTTGTGGCACAACTGTGAGTCATATCGGTGGAAAATAACAACACATGAGAGTTGTAGTCATCTTTTAGAAGGAATATGTGCTTGCTATTTTATCCTATGTCCAGAGAATAGAGATGGAGAGATAAAACTTGAACTACTAAAATAACACAACGTTCATAATTGAGTTAGAGTCCAACGTCCTTGCTAAGGGATTGTTTTTATTATAGTTTGAGTTTCCATATATAAAATTTCAGTATTGTAGTATAACCTACCCGGGTTCGTGCAGTAAGATTTAACGATGAGAACTTTTATTACTTTTTAAACAACAAATCTTCTGAAAAGTGAAATAAAAAACAAATAGGACCTACGTTGTGGAAACTCACTCAATTTTACTTACTGGACATGCGCCCGACATAGCAAATATTTGGGAAATTCAAGGGAAGTTGTGATATGTAAAAGAAACGAAAAATTTATGAAACGTCTACTTTATTATTAAAGTAAATCGTACCGTTCTCATCCTGGAACTAACGAGGGGAAAGAGCACGGCAGAGAAACTCTCGATCTAACATTCCTCAAAAATCGAAACATAGGTACTGCGTCTCTTTAATAATAATTGTGAGACAATAATTCACTAATTTAAGTTAATATAAGTTTAAATTAGGTACCATTTGTTGTCTTCGTGTTAAAATTTCAATATTACACACTACATTCAATCAACACTACCTATATTCAATACTGAAGAGTTTTTGATTAGTTAGTTAGCCAGTTTCCCAGCAGGTACTGAGGTCCCATACGGAAAGCTACTCAGCTATAGTTGTTTGATTATTTCAATTTACTAGGATATTCTTTCGTCAGGGTAGGAAAATGTTGGTAAATTCAACAAGGCTCTGGTGCACGCTCTGGATACACAAAATCAAAATCTGAAGGTGCTCGCTTCTTGACATACACACTAATAACAAATTGGATTGAACAATCAGTTTAATGCAAAATAAAAATAGAAATTGAATAATTAATAATTACAGACACGCAACACGCGTCTAAGGGACCAGTCCCAGCTTGTTCTCTAGTCTAATATCTAAGCGCTTCTTCTTTATCTACCGTCCGGTATCTACCCTTTCAGTACGCTTTTTCATTGAGGCGAGGCCCGTTCCTATAAACTTGAAGGCGCATACATGGTTGCAACATTCACTTGTATTCAGTAAACGTTTTTTTTTTTTTTAAGTTAGAATTTGAAGAAATAATATTTTAAATACCTAGGTGGTTTTCCTCAGTATGTCTGTTCCTGTCCTGTTCTTCTATTCTATTTGGATGCAAGGTCCAATATTTCAGGATATATTATTTAATGATATAATGTGAATACAGACATCACTATAGAACCTCCTTTGCGATATTCGGTGTTCCAATACTCAGACAGAAATTCCATAACATCATTATGTGTATTTTTGTCTTGCAAATTTGTTTCGTAGAAGTTCAATGTAGTGCAAGTGCATATGGCACTGGTACACCTAAGGGTTCCAGATCACTAAATAGTGTTCCAAAATGCCTCTGGAATTGTTTATATTCACTGAGAAGTGATCTGAAGTGGTGGACAATAGCTGATTGTTCGGGAGCGCTGACAATAACTTGTTTCAGGTCTGTTATAATAAGCTTCACTACAGAACCAAAAAATCAGTCATTCAAACATTTTTGGTCATATTATACGAGGTCATATCATAAAAGAAAATGTATGTATTATTAATATTTTTTTAAAAAGGTCAAGCTAAAGGCTAGAACGTTGGCAACACTGGATGTTTGTTTGACTTGCGCAGATAATCACAACTTAAAATAGTGATGAGGTCGTGCGTGAACATTAGAATTTTGAAGGAATACACTCAAGAATACATATGAATACATGAGAATACATTGGATTATATAAGAAAATAAGAAAACATGAGATTGCATGAGTCTCAAACACTAGAATACATTGGCGGTTCACCCCTCGCATATTTCATCATCACAACAGTTATACATATTAATAATTGAATAATAAATTATAGTAAGATATGTATAATTTAAATGCGTTCAAATTTTTTGAGTCCAATGTTTTATATCCCCGGCATTTATTTGTTTTTAAAATCGGTCTTCTCTCATTGTTCTTCTCTATTAGTACTTCAGTACTGCGGGTGTGGATTCTTCTAATAATGTTGAAAGTATTTCACTGAAGACTTCATACTTGAATTCTGAAATGAACAGACTCGTCCTGTAAGTAAGCCACCAAGCTCCTTTATAATGATATGGGGCTTGTGTTGTCAACCATTACAAAATATACCATACCATGTCTCACATGTTTTGTCCAAATTGAAGAAATTACTTTGGCTGATAGGTACTGGCAATGGTTGCTCTCCACTCTCCAGTATCCCCTATAATTTTCATTTTATTTTTTATTCATGATTTATGCCTAGACTGAAAATTAATTTAAAAGTACCGACAGGCGATTTAAGTAAAATGCCGAGATTGAAGGACGCGCTGATGCAATCTGGGCGCGTGCACACAAGGCCATGGCCATAACATCGAACATCCTACTTTATCTACGCGTCTGTTCGTTTTATTTACATTCTATTCGGCTCTCTGGCTGGCTTATGTAAAAGCGAGTGTAAAAGCTACTGACGGCTGCAGCCTAACTAATATTTGTTTCACCTACCAGGTGAAATTGAAACAGTCCGGACCTACTTCAGGAGCTTTTGCCACTCGATTCTATATGGGTGTTTTCAATAGTAATACTAGGTAATTCATATTTTGGAACCTTACCCAATTTAGAACTCAATGCTTCAAAACTCAATAATTCTGAAGGTTCTTAAGCTGTGGCTCTTGTTCAAATATTTAATTTTCTTATTTGGAATTTGAAGTTTTAAGTCTTTTCTAGACAAAATAGAATTTTTCAAAAGCAAATGTTCTAAGGACCTCGCACACTTCTTATGGGATTTCTGTTATAGATCTCACCTTTCTGATCAATAACTACCATGGCACAACTTAATCCTATGACTAGTTTTTGAGATACAGGTAAATTTTAATGTCGAAGAAATGTACACATTTTATATGCATTTATTTACGACTAATGTATAATGTGCGTATTATATTTGTGATTTTGGCAGTATAATGACATATGTTATTCCTCCAGGGATTAATGATGAGTAGCGGGATTAATGGTCATTATTCCACAAAAGTGTCAGTGTCAAACGTGTAGTGCTTGTGGATTTGTATTGAAAATTATGAGACGTATGAAATTTGTTCATTGAAAATCTCAAATAAATTAATTTGTCGTAAATAAAGTAGAGTATACTACTCGCAATAATGGCTATTATTCCCTCGGAATGTTACTCCCTCGCCGCTCTATCATTATTGACTCGTGGTATAATCTACTATTATTACATACATACATCTACCTGTCACCTAATAATATACCAGGATGCAGGATGGACAGGTGTCTTCACGCTCAGGTGACGTATACGGGGTGATTCAAAAGTAAGCGGCATCCTTTCGGGGGCGTATCCCTTGCATAGAAATAAGACAAAAAGTTCCTATTAACATGGGTCCGGAAATGCTTCCTAAGGGAGCTACGCCCCTTCGAATAGGACACCTGAAAGACGTATTTTTCTCTATAACTTTGAAACCCTTTACAATTGGATTTTGAAAATTGGTTTATTTTATAAACATTTGATGGCAATTAAGATACTAAATTGAAAATTCAAAAATCTTAATCAGTGGCGTCACATACTGGGGTGGCCGAGGGTTAAAACATCCCTATTTTTTTTACTCGTCAGGTTTTTGCGATTTTGATTAAAAATTCAGAAAGTTTACAGCTTTTTACACAGAAAAGGTACTCTTGATTCAATTTGATACAGCGTACCGTTTACGAGAAAATTGACTATGAAAATTTTCTGATTTGCGTATGTTTCGCAAAAACCTGACGAGTAAAAAAAAAATAGGGATGTTTTCACCCTCTCCAGTATGTGACACTAATTAAGATTTTTGAATTTTCAATTTAGTATCTTAATTGCCATCAAATGTTTATAAAATACACCAATTTTCAAAATCCATTTGTGAAGGGTTTCAAAGTTATACAGAAAAACACGCCTTTCAGGTGTCCTAATCGAAGGGGCGTAGCTCCCTTAGGAAGCATTTCCGGACCCATGTTAATAGGAACTTTTTGTCTTATTTTTATGCAAGGAATACGCCCCCGAAAGGATGCCGCTTACTTTTGAATCACCCTGTAGATGTAAATGCATACCGGATGGGGCACGAAAAACTTTCCACCCAGGTTTTCTCAGGTGTTAGGTGTTTAATCAAAAATCGCTCAGACACGTCAATTTTTGTTT